CAAGGCTCAGGGTGGGCTACAGCAATAAATAACTGTACAGGATTAGCCCACTCAGGCCAGTCCAGGGATGAGAGGGAATCCTGTACTTTTCAGTACATTAAACAACAAACCACGAGATGGTCTATACCCTCTCTGGTTTCCAGACAATTTGCCACCAGAACCTCTTTTCACTAGTCCCTGCTTTTCCTAAGGGAAGAGATTCCAAACCCTTAGTTGGCATCTGGGACAGAACACATTAGCAACTCAATCCAGAGATGCACGCTTTTTACCCTCCCATGGTAGCGTATGTGGTCAGGGTTAGGCACAAGACTTAGACTTGGAATTTAAGTTACAACATCAGAGACCATTAGAAATAAGAAGGATCTTTATTCAGTACAGAACACAGCAAACAGACTAGGATATTACAAAATAACAAAGGCTAGGGCAATTTGAACATCAGAACATCAGAGACGCCAATGTTGGATCAGGCCAAAGGCCCATCCAGTCCAACACTCTGTGCCTTAACTACACATTAATGAGATTCATAGTTACCAAATTCAGGAACAGCCAACAGTCCAAGTATATACCAAGGGATTTTGAAGGGAAATCCCATCTTTGCACAAGCATGTGGTCCAAGTCACAAAGCAGGTCTTTGTTTTCCAAGAGACAGCATTTCAGGTGCAATAAAACAGACAATGACAGGGGAGAGAGCAAGAGCAAGAGAACTCACTCCCATAGGGTTGAATGAACTACGAAGCAATCACCATTACTCTCCACAGCCATTCTCCTGAAAGCTTGTTCACAACAATGAATGGAAAAGAGCTCCGTTGGTTCAGAACGAATTATCAGTAGGTCTTAGAGTGTTAGGGCAGAAGCAGCACTGTGATACTTAACTAGGAATGGTATATATGTTATAAGGCCCTTGGAGAACCATGGCAAATTGTGCAGTCAGAACAACAAGACCCTTTTTTCAGCCTGCATCACCTTCTGTATCCTTGAAGAGATGATTAGGCAGTTAACTGCTGCCTGAAATCCGAGTGTATGGCCCAATCTGCATTTGCTGTGTAAAGCTGTTCCGTGCTGCTGTGGCGCTGGCTTCCCATTTGGCTCACTATAAAGCTCTCCTCTGTCTGCATCATGATGCAAGTTGTTTAGGGAGAACGCGGTGGGGGGGGGCAGCCTCCCAGGGGCGCCGGCAGGGCACTGCGCTGCATTGTGCTGTGGGGAGGAAACAGCATCTGCAAATCCCCAACACAGAAAGTAAAAGATGGTGACCTGGCAGGGGGGGGGCGAAGGCAGGAGACTTTTAGAAACCAATATTTCTATACAATAACATAGTACAATATAATAATCAAACACAATATCAATAGTCATTAAAAAAACCTAATGTAACCTCAGTTAATAATAACATGGGCCCAATCTGCATTTGCTGTGTAAAGCTGTTCCGTGCTGCTGTGGCGCTGGCTTCCCATTTGGCTCACTATAAAGCTCTCCTCTGTCTGCATCATGATGCAAGTTGTTTAGGGAGAACGCGGTGGGGGGGGGCAGCCTCCCAGGGGCGCCGGCAGGGCACTGCGCTGCATTGTGCTGTGGGGAGGAAACAGCATCTGCAAATCCCCAACACAGAAAGTAAAAGATGGTGACCTGGCAGGGGGGGGGCGGGGGAGGAAAGACGGAACGAGGAGGCGGGGGCAGGAAAGACGGAATGAGCTGGGTAAAAAACATGAGACACCCAGCAGTACCGCCTTAAAACCCCATTCAGATAAGGCAGTGAGACGACGGAGTGACCTCGGAGTCACCGCTAAATGGCAATACAAAGATGCAGACGGCCGATGCTGAGATGAAACAATAGGAGAGCGGATGCGGCACGAAATGCAGACAGAAATTTGTGAGACGATGTGAGATCGTTCGCACAACGGTGGGAAACACCAGTGCATATTGGACCATCAAGTTGCAAGCGGTGGCGCCAATTAAATGCAGCTACTCCTGAATCAATTCCACATATGTGTGGTAGATGGTAACTGCAAGAGGTGGCTGGATGAGAAAGAACGGCACGAGATGGAGCCATGCGGGGGGAGGCCAGTACTAAGAGATCTGTGACGCCTCAGCCATAGGTAGTGTTGCCATCCCTCCGGTGGGGCCAGGGGATCCCCTGATTTCAGTATCCCCAATCCGCTACCAGCCACGCCAGGGCCATCGCACAGTGACACTCTAGCATTCAGGGGGGGAACTGTAGGGTTACCATAGAGTTTCCCCCCTGAACGCTAGAGTGTCGTCATAAGATGGCCCTAGTGTGATGGTGTCACTACTGGTGACGTCATCGTGCTATGCGCGCTTTTCACGGGGCAGGAGAGTCCCAGTGAGGAGCCAGGAGCCCCCTGCCCTACCAAAGGTGAGACCTGATGACCCTAACCATAGGCCTGGTGGAATATCTCCATTTTACAGCCCCTGTGGAACTGCAATCGGTCTTGCAGGGCCCGGATCCTGTTTGGGAGAGCGCTCCGCCAGATTGGTGCCAGAGCTGAAAAGGGTCTTGCTCTGGTTGAGGCTTACCGGACCTCCTTCGAGCCGGGGACCAGCAGTAGATGCTGATCCATGGAGCGTAATGCTCTTTGGGGGACATACATAGCCCGTTCTCATCAGATCCTGGAAGTTAAGCAGGGTCAACCCTGGTTAGTACTTGGATGAGAGCCCTCCAAGGAAGGCTCTGCAGAGGAAGGCGATGGTGAACCACCTCTGCTTCTTACTTGCCTTGGGAGCCCCTTGCTGGGATTGCCGTAAATTGGAAAACTAAGCATGGTCGGTACTTGGGTGGGAGGCCACCAAGGAAGGCTCTGCAGAGGAAGGCCATGGCAAACCACCTCTGCTTCTCACTTGCCTTGGAAGCCCCTTGCTGGGGTCGCCATAAGTTGGAAGCTAAGCAGAGTCGGTACTTGGGTGGGAGGCCACCAAGGAAGGTTCTGCAGAGGAAGGCCATGGCAAACCACCCCTGCCTCCCAGTTGCCTCAAGAGCCCCTTGCTGGGGTTGCCGTAAGTTGGAAGCTAAGCAGAGTCGGTACTTGGGTGGGAGGCCACCAAGGAAGGTTCTGCAGAGGAAGGCCATGGCAAACCACCTCAGCCTCCCAGTTGCCTTGAGAGCCCCTTGCTGGGGTCGCCATAAGTTGGAAGCTAAGCAGAGTCGGTACTTGGGTTGGAGGCCACCAAGGAAGGTTCTGCAGAGGAAGGCCGGGGCAAACCACCTCTGCTTCTCACTTGCCTTGGAAGCCCCTTGCTGGGGTCGCCATAAGTCAGCTGTGGCTCGAAGGTACTTCAGGCACACCCCTCCTGAGCTGACCTGAAATGGTTCCAGTCAGGGGTCATTTCCTGCGGGAGCACACAGGAGCGGAGCTCCGGCAGTAAGGAGCCCAGGGGGCGGGCACATGCAACAAGCCTCGCCCCCTGCTCCAAGCAGCCCTCAGTTGGGCCACGAGGAGCAAGAAGCAGCCAGGCAAGTTGCAGAGCCCCCCCTATGGCCCACCTTTAGGTACAAGCTCTCCCTCCTCTGCGAGGACAGATCTGCGCATTCCCACCCGCCAATAGCTAGCACCAAAACAGTCCAGTGGAGCCTGAGCGGCGGGTGTTGCCTTCTGACACACTTCCGGTGATGTCAGGGGGTGTGGCATATGCAAATGTGTTATGCTAACGAGTTATGCTAATGAGCTCCTGCACCTCTTTTTCTACGAAATGACCCCTGGTTCCAGGTAGCCCCTGTTCCCCTTGCTGGGGAAACTTCAAGTGTGCCGAGAAGGCTACAGGTAAGTTTCCGCCAGTTCAGGTCTGGTTTCAAAGATCGCTTGGGCAAGAAAAGAACAAAAAAAAGCACCCTTTCTAAATGACGTGGAGGTTGCGTATATAATCTAAACTGGAGACTCAGAAGTCTGGCGGGGACTCCGAAGGGGGAAATCTGTGGGTGAGGGAAGGGGGATGCCTGCCTGCTGGTTTCCCCTGACAATCCCCACCCCCCTCCCCTGTGGAAAGATAGGGCAGAATAGGCTGTACAGGACTAGATGTCCTGAAGGATCGGATATCCGAGAGGACTGAAATGTTAGGATTCACGCTTTCGGTGCAATCAAAAAAACCATCTGCTTTGTCGGTCTTCCCTCACCTGAAGAAGAAGAAGAGATTGGATTTATACCCTGCCCTTCACTCCCCCCTGAAGGAGTCTCAGAGCGGCCTACAATCTCCTCTCCCTTCCCCTTCCCACAACAGACACCCTGTGAGGCAGGTGGGGCTGAGAGAGCTCTGACAGAAACTGCTCTTTTTCAAGGACAGCTGTGCCAGAACTACGGCTTGCCCAAGGTCATCCAGCAGGTGCAAGTGGAGGAGTGGGGAATCAAACCCGGTTCTCCCAGATTAGAGTCCATGCACTTAACCACTACACCAAACTGGCTCTCAGTGGCCAATGGCAGCTCTTTCCCATCCCTGTTGCCTCTGGGCTACCCAGGTACTGAACCTCCACCCTCCCCCACCCTTCAACTTTTGAAAGCCTGGATTTAGAAAGCGGACTAAATTATGCCAAGTGAGTAGGACTGATCGGCGTCCTTGACTGAGCGCCATCTTGGATTTTCCTTGTTGCACCGTTTCGGGATAGAGGGAGAGGCAGGGAGGTTCTCGAGAGGTTCTCGGGAGGAGCGCATGGGATCCATCTGGGATATTAGACTGTGCGGGAGCTCCAGACAGGGTAACATGCTAGCTCTTGCGTCGAGGACGGGTGGGAAGGTGGACTGGGTAACATCCGCCCTCACCCACCTTCTGTCAGGACAGACTTTCCCTCAGGCGTGAGGTAGGAATCACTGCCAGTTCCTTGGGATGTGCTGAACTCAACTAAATTTGGGAGCAGTGCACTACTGTGCAGTCCCCCCCCCCCCGGTCCACACCCATCCCCAGCTGGGAGTCAAACGTGCAGGTTTCTCAATTCCGCCCTCGTTTCAGCCCTCTGTGGTTCTCTGCAAACGTCTTCGTCTGTTCCGTGTCCCCCCCAGGTGTGCTGCTGATCTGCCCCTGTCACTCTGCCGCGTGATTTACCCCCCTGTGGTTGCGTAATCACGAACCCAACGAGCATACCCCACACCTCGAAGATGGAGATGCAGAAGATGGGCGAGGGGGAGTGCACCGAGCGCCTCAACGGGACCATACCTGACAGTGAAAAGGCATCCACGCTGGAGGATGGGTGAGTCCCGGAGAATAAAGACAGGCAGGAGGCGTGGGAATGGGCGGACGTGGGGAAAAGGGGAGCGCCCAGCTGAGGAGTGGAGAGGATGGAAAAGAGGGATTCAGTTTAGGGAGTTTATGCGGTAGCCCAATCACCTGCTCATATTTATTCATGCCAGTAGCCCAGAGCCCTGCCAGCAGCTCAGAAAGTAGAATTTTTGCTCACAGGACTCCACAGCTTAGAGGGAGCATTGATGACTACTGCAGGGGGGGGGGCGCTACATCCGCCGTGCTGACCCTGTTTCTCTTTTCAGCTACGAGGGAGAAGAGTCTGCCATGATGGAACAGGAGGAGTTCCTGCCCCACATTGTCACTAAGAAACTGAGCCAGTTCACTGATGTAAGTGGTCACGGCGTCCAGATTTCCCAATCCCCTCCTAGATAGAATCCTTGGCTCCCAAACCTCTCTGGGAGATTTGATTTCCTGGAACTGCAGTAGGCAGCAGTCGACTGTCCTCTGCCCGGTCGCATATAGCGCTGCTTCCTCCGATTTTACGAGGTTGGCCAATATCTTGTACCGAGCAACGGAGGTATCACGGCCTCTACCTTCTCCTCCTGTCTTCGGTGGCGGCACTGCTCCCCTTTGACCCCTTCTGGGCGATCTTGGGCACTAAGAGCTGGAGCACGCGGTCGACAGAAGGGCACAGAGGGTGGCTTCTGCTGGGCACTGTCATTTGGGTTGCAGACTGGGGGTGAGGGGAAACTGTCATGGATTTTCTCCCATGTCAAATACAAAAATTAGCATGCCGTGAAAAGTTTCAGGAGGGTTTCAGGAGGGTAGCCGTGTTGGTGTACAGTCAAAGAGCTAGATTCGAGTCCGGTAGCACCAGTTTGGTGTCGTGGTTAAGTGCGCGGACTCTAATCCGGGACAACCGGGTTTGATTCTCCACTCCTCCACTTGCACTTGGCTGGATGACCTTGGGCAAGCCATAGCTCTGACGAGAGCTGTCCTTGAAAGAGCAGTTCTTGAAAGAGCTCTCTCAGCCCCACCTACCCCACAGGTTGTCTGTTGTGGGGAGGGGAAGGGAAAGGAGTCTGTAAGTGGCTTTGAGACTCCAAGTGAAGGGCGGGGTATAAATCCAATCTCCTCCTTCTCCTCTTCTTCCTCCTTTTCTTCCTCCTCCTCCTCTTCTTCTCCTTCTTCTTCGTCGTGACCTATAAGAATTTGGGGGTATGAGACTTTGAGCGTCAAAGCCCCCTTCGTCAGAAGTCATGGGAGAAGTTTAAACTCATATCCTTCTGTTTGGTGTGCCAGCTTTATATGTCAAGGGATTTTATTGTACCGGGGAGTAATCAAATGTGTGACTGCCTGGCCCACAGTCTTTTAGTGGTTCATCCATTTTCCTGCTGTTGGACTTCAGTCCTTTAAGCCATGCTATAACTCTCTACCTTTCCTTTTTGTGATTCTGATTTGATTTTTGTCCCTAATCTCTCCTTCCCCTCCATGCCTTTCTTGTTAACCTCTGCCTTTTGCACTATGACTGTTTCCCCTTTTGCTCTTGGACTTTCCCGCATTCTCATTTTTCTTGGCTCGTGTTTTCCTGTTGCTTCGGGGCTTTCCCCGCCCCTGTTCTGCATGTGTTTTGTTCCCTCTAGTGGTTGACTCAATATTACATCGGTTTATACCCGGCGTTCTCTCCCTGCAGATTTAAACTGCAGGTTTTTCTGCCGGACGTAACGCAATGTCATATTGAATTGACCACTAGAGGGAGCAAAATCTCTCTGGGAAATTTGATTTCCTGGAACTACAGTGAGCAGCAGTTGCCCTGAGAAGCAACAGGAACACTCAAGCCAGGAAATGAGAATGTGGAAAAGCCGGCTGACTGCTGTAGTGTTGTAGGTACGTAGGCAAGAAAAGCCTCCCTACGCTTCAGATTCTTCAATCTTGATGACCTGCCACCTCCGTAGTACCATGCTCACAGTCAATGGGACCTCTTTGTAAAATCAGTTTTTTGCACGATAAATATGTTTCGTTGGATCCGGCAGAGCAGTGGAAGCATTTTCCTCCTGCGGAAAGGGTCTGTCCTTGACACAAGAGGCTTTTTCTTGCCTCAGGGGGAAGCCACCTTCCACTGGGGAGACCCACCTCCATTAGCAGCCCGTAACTGCTGTTGACCAGATATTATCCCTCCATGATGAACTTCTCCTGCAGGGTTTATAGCATTTTACCAGCAGTGGGTGTGCTTTTATTTTGTACACTCTTCCCCCCATATTGTGCAGCGATGACAAGTGTGCTGCAGAATGTAATTGCAGGAGCATTGCGGGGTCCTACTGGACAGCGCCCGTAAGGTGGATGGAAACGCAGCCGCCTGCTCCCGTGACCCTTTTCCAAGCGTCCCTTTATTTCAGGGTGTTGAACTCCAACAGCTGAAAGGCCAAGTGAAATGCCACAGCCATAACATTTTTAAAACAAAAAACCATCGGTGGCACCTGATTCGACATCTCCAAGTCCCCCCTCAGTTCAAGCTTCAGCTGTCCCTCCTTCCTCCCGTGCCTTCCAATCCCCGCCCCCTTTTTCTTTCCCGCTGATGCTCCTCCCCCCTCGCCGTTTTCCCTGACCTGTCTTTTGTCTCCCCCCAACGCCCCGGCTTGCAGTTCGAAGGGAAGACATCGTTTGGGATGTCCGTCTTCAACCTGAGCAACGCCATCATGGGCAGCGGCATCCTAGGCTTGGCCTATGCCATGAGCACCACCGGGATCGTCCTCTTTGTGTGAGTGCCACGCCCACGGGGGTCCTCTTCCCGGGAGAGCTTCAAAGCCCCGGGCTGCCTGGGGTTGGATCTGAGGTTGGGGCCGGGAGAATCCAAGCGTCTCAATGAGTGGCCCTAACCCTTTTGAGGCTGGGGGCACCTTCGGGATTCTGACAAGGGGCAGTTTGGTGTAGTGGTTAAGTGCACGGACTCTAATCTGGGAGAACCGGGTTTGATTCCCCCACTCCTCCACTTGCAGCTGCTGGATGACCTTGGGCAAGCCATATAGTTCTCTCAGAGCTGTTCTCTCAAGGACAGTTCTCTCAGAGCTCTCTCAGCCCTGCCTACCTCACAGGGTGTCTGTTGTGGGGAGGGGAAGGGAAAGGAGTTTGTAAACCACTCTGAGACTCCGAGTGAAGGGTGGGGTATAAATCCAATGTCGTCTTCTTTTACCTCACAGGGTGTCTGTTGTGGGGAGGGGAAGGGAAAGGAGTTTGTAGGCCGCTCTGAGTGAAGGGTGGGGTATAAATCCAATCTGTTCTCTCTCTTCTTCAGTTGCAAAGTGTCCGCCACAGGACGCGGACCCAACCACAAAATGGCAGGGGGTGAGGCAATGCATAAGTCCCGTGGTAACTCTTCAGCGTTTCAGGCGGAAGCTCTGCTTTGCCTGTTCATCTGCACAGTCAGTCAGAAACCCTGTTGGGCAAAAGCCCTACGTCGCCCCACCCACTTTCTAAAAGGATTTGGCAAGGCACCAGGAAACATGTTGGTGCCCACGGGTACCCTGTTGGGGACCCCTGATCTAGACTGCATACTAATTCCTGGCAGAGGAGTTTAGGACTGACGCCACCTTTGTCCTCCTTTCCCCAGGGTGCTTCTGATCAGCATCGCTTTGCTCTCCTCCTATTCCATTCACCTGCTGCTGCAATGTGCCGGAGTCGTGGGTAAGTTGGGAGCTCCAGGAGGACTTCTGAATGACCCTATGGGTCGCTGCAGTGGGCAGTGCGAAGCCCAAATGATACGTTACGTTTGTGGGGAGTGGAAGCAGGAGAAGTTTTACTGTTATGTCTGGAGGTGTGCCATGTATATAATTTTAAGAAGTTGGAGGTGGTTCAATAAAGGCTATGGCTCAAGATGGCTAGCCGCAGGGCTATTTTGGGGCAGCAACGCACAGGAACGGAGTTCCGGCTGGCTCCTGAGTTGGCCACGCCCAGCAGGAACTCATTAGCATAATAGGCCACACCCAACAGCAGAAACTCATTAGGATTGGCTACATTAGGGGTGTGTGGCCTAACATGCAAAGGAGTTCCTGCTACAAAACAAGCCCTGGGTTTTGACAACAAACAAAGTAAACAGAATAAGAAGCAAAAGGTGGGTGTGGCTGGATGACCACACTTCTGGTAACATGGGGTGTGTGGCCTAATATGCTAATGAGCTGTGCTGTTAGGGGTGTGTCCTAATATGCTAATGCGTTTCTGCTGTTGGGTGTGGCCTGTTATGCTAATGAGTTCCTGCTGGGCTTTTTCTACAAAAAGAGCCCTGCGCGTAGCTGCATTAGTTCATCTGCAGCAGTAGAAAAGAGCAAGAGTCCCGTAGCATCTTAAAGGCTAACAAGATTTGTGGCCGAGGATGAGCTTTCTTGAGTCACTTCTGGTGGACTCCGTGGCATTGTACTAAAAGTGAGCAGTGACTCATGGAAACTCCTCTCCTGCCCCAAATGCTGTTAGTCTTTAAGTTGCTACTGGACTCTTGCGCTACAGTAAAGGCTGTGATTCATATGGCATACACAGATTTTTTTGTGTGTCGTTCATAGTTCTAGTGTGGCCAGTGGTCAAAAAAAAAAAAGATCTCCAGAATCTCCTTTCCCAAGAATCAAAACTGGGACGAGGGTATGCACCATGTGTTATAATCTCTCTTTTGAGCCATATCAGACTCCAAAGAGCTGTATACACAAGAAGAGTCCCTCTGGATCAGACCAGTGGTCCATCTCGTCCAGCATCCTGTCTCACACGGTGGCCAGCTAGTTGCACAGGAGGGCAAGTGGGGTATAGAGGCCAGGGCCTTGATGTCGCCTCCTGACCACTGGTATTCAGAGGCTTGCTTGGTGTGCCATTCCTCCTGCAAAGATACCCATAACCGAATAGCCGAGAGCCAAATTGAGACGCTACATGTGACTTGCAATGCTCCCTCTAAGCTGTGGAGTCCCGTGAGCAGAAATGCTACTCTGTGAGCTATTGGCATTCAAGCTGTGAGCGAGTGATTTGGCTACTGCATAAATGAGTCCTTTAAATTAGTCTTGAGAGTCCCTTGGACTGCAAGAAGATCAAATCAGTCAGTCCTAAAAGTAATCAACCCTGACTGTTCCCTGGAAGGCCAGATAATGAAACTGAAGCTCAAATACTTTGGCCACCCAATGAGAAGGGAGCGCTCACTGGAGAAGACCCTGATGCTGGGAAAGATTGAAGGTCAAAGAAGACGGGGACGGCAAAGGATGAGATGGTTAGACAGTGTCATCGATGCAACGAACATGAAGTTGAGCAAACTTCAGAGGACGGCGGAAGACCGGAAGGCCTGGCGTGATCTGGTCCATGGGGTCGCGAAGAGTCGTACTCGACTGTGCGACTGAACAACAACAACAACAATAAATTAGTTGGCTCTGGAGCCATCCTTCCTGAGCTAAGACAAAAATGTGTGAGCCGGAGGCTAAAAAACTGTGAGCTAACTCACACTCAGCTTAGAGGGAACACTGGTGACATGAGTCCAGACATGGATGCCCATCCCAGCACTGTTACACGTATGAACTGGGGAACGTACCTGGAAAGCGTGCTCTGTTTCGCTATGGAATGCTGCAAGGGGGCGGGGGGGAGGAAGGACTTCTGATTTGCCTCCCCTGCCATTTCTGCTGGCGAAAAGGGCACGGGAGGGAAACCGGAGGCCCCTCTTGCTCTTTCGCGGCACTCCGGGGCCAAACAGAGCAAAAGAAGGTAAGTTCCCCAGTTCAAGTTTAAGTTCCCCAGTTCACGCATGTGGCAGTGAGCAATTATGTCACCCAGAATGTCCAGTTTGGCTCTTGGAATCATCAGAGCTCAAAAGCGAAGAAGGGTTGGCCTCGTTCTGGGGTTGGGGAGGAGGGAAGGAGGGCTTTGGCAGAGGGCAGGTCCGGGAGGCAGAGAAGCCACCTCAGAACTGGAAAAGGACGGTTGCCAGCTCTGGGTTGGGAAATACCTGGAGATTTTGGGGGTGGAGCCTGGAGGAGATGGGGTTTGGAGAGGGGAGGGGCCTCAGCATGCTACAATGCCACGGAGTCCGCCCTCCAAAGCAGCCATTTCCTCCAGGGGAACTGGCCTTTGTAGTCTGGAGATCAGTTGGAAAAGTGGGAAATCTCCAGGCCCCACCTGGAGGCTGGCAACCCTGTAAAATGCAAGCAGAAGATCTGCAGGGTCGATCCATTTCAGAGGGTAGGCAAGGAACTGACGGTGCAAATCCACGCAGAGTTATCGCAGTCTTAGGGCCATCGATTTCAGACGGCTTAGACTATATAAGTCTATACTGTGGATAGTACATGTCTCCCTCCCTATAAAACACTCCTTACAGGGGCAAAGCTATTGTGCTAGATTCAGGGGTCATTTCGTAGAAAAAGAGGTGCAGGAGCTCATTACCATACGTGACTCTTTTGGGTTCCTAGCTATTGTGGGGGGGGGGGAATGTGCAGATCTGTCCTCGCTAAGGAGGGAGAGCTTGTACCTGAATAAAACTTGGTCTTAAAAGTGCCACTGGACTGTTTTGAACCGGGGCGGGGGCTGGGGGGGGGGGAGCTCTGCAACTTACCTGGCTGCTTCTTGCTCTGACTGAGGGCTGCTGGGAGCAGGGGGTGGGGCTTGTTGCATGTGCCCGCCCCCTGGGCTTTTTACTGCCGGAGCACCGCTCCTGTGCGTTCCTGCAGGAAATGACCCCTAGCTAGATTTATTTATACCCTGCCTTTCTCAGAGAGAAGTTCATGTAAAAGAGGAAGATAATTTTCCCCCAGTAAGCCCAGAGTAGCTTAATCTCGGAAGCTAAGTAGGGGTTGCCCCTAAATGCTTGGACACTTTGCCCTTGCCTGCCTCTGCGTAGCAACCCTGGACTTCGTTATGGTCTCCCATCCAAGTGCTAACCAGGGGCCGACCCCAGCTTAGCTTCTGAGATCCGACAAGATCGGGCTAGGCTGTCCCGTCCAGGCCAAGGCCAAGAGTTCTTAGGGGACCATTGAAACGATTTCCGAGATCTACGTTGCGCTCTCTCGTTCTCATCCAGGAATCAGAGCTTATGAACAGCTGGGATTCAGGGCCTTTGGCCACGGAGGGAAGGTGGTGGCCGCTGTGATCATCTCAATGCACAACATCGGAGGTAAGAGGTCGTTTTTACCGATAGATCGTTTCTCCTGCCGGGTCCGAGAGGGGGAGAAGTCAGGGCTGCTGTCCCCTGAAGTTTAAAAAAAAAAATTACCTCAGGGTAACAAACTGTGCAAATGATGTTTACTCGCGCAGGGGAGCGTCTCTTGGCGGAACGCACTGTAGTTCCATTCATCCATCTCTCCTCACCGACAGGCCAAAAAAGGAATTTGGGCCACCCTGACAGCTTTCTCTTTTCACAGCCATGTCCAGTTACTTGTTCATTGTTAAATCCGAGCTGCCTCTCGTGATTCAGACCTTCTTGGGACTGAAGGAGCGCACCGAGGGGTAAGCAGAACGACACCCAGTTCGATTCCTGAGCTTCCCTGCGGGGCCTTCCGTTTGTAAAATAAACAATAACGCTACACCAGACTTACGGCTATTGGAGAGAAAACAGAGGGAAAGATTCTTTTCCGTTAACACTTCGTGTGGCAGACTTATTCCAAAAAAGAAAGGAGACCACCTCTCTAACCAGTCTTGCCAACCTCCAGGTGGCACCTGGAGATCTCCCACTATTACGATTGATCTCCAGATGACCGAGGTAAGAACATGAGAACATAAGAGAAGCCATGTTGGATCAGGCCAATGGCCCATCCCGTCCAACACTCTGTGTCACACAGTGGCCAAACCCCAGGTGCCATCAGGAGATCCACCAGTGGGGCCAGCCAGTGTTGCCCCCCAAGCACCAAGAACACAGGGCATCACTGCCCCAGGCATAAGAGCGTAAGAGAAGCCATGTTGGATCAGGCCAATGGCCCATCCAGTCCAATACTCTGTGTCACACAGTGGCCAGAAATACCAGGTGCCATCAGGAGGTCCACCAGTGGGGCAAGAACTCCAGAAGCCCTCCCACTGTAGCCCCCACCCAGCATCATTGACCCTAGACAGAGGGTGCATTCAGACGGGGCGTTTCTGCCGGCATAAACTGTACCGGTTGGAACCGGTGCAGTTTATGCCGGCAGAAACGCGATCACACTTACCTCCCTCACAGCGGAACCCATCGCAATACGCCCGTTCATGCGCAATACGCCCGTCCATGCGCATGCGCATAGGCAGCCATCCATAGAATGTCATACATTTAAACTTTAAAGGTAAGGACTTACCTTTAAAGTTTAAAGAGCACAGTAGCCTCCCTGAGGTCCCGGACGCCTCCGAAACGCTACAGTAAAGCCCTTTTCTTTTCTTTTTAATACAAACGGCAGGGCGAAGCTTCGCCCAAGCGCATATCGCCGTCCTTTAAAAAAAA